ATTGTCAAATACAACAAATGATGAGAAAATCAATTTACTCTTTAGAATTAGTCAAGTGAGGAATCCTTTGAAGTGGGGGTGCAGGGTTTTGCCTGGGTTCTATAATCACATAAAAGCGGGTACTGTATATATGTTGGTAAAATGTTGTGGAATTTAATGAGGACTATTTGCTGCCGTAGACCTTCCAGACAGAATCTATCTCTGAAAAAGAATTCCCCAGTCCTAAAATAGAGGTTTGATGAGCAGCAGATGTGGTTTAAATGAACCCTTGTTCAACTGAACTAAGAATATATTTTGATCTGTAGGAGGCATGGGCCAGAAAAGGGGGTGGAGGGGTGATCCTAGCACAGCCTCAGCGCTGAGCTTCGTTGTGGAGTTTGAATATATTTATTTACCCCATAAAGTTTCTCTTGTGAGGCAGGATGCAAATGAGCTTTTAGTTAATACTCTCTAATAGTCCGAGGATGCCATACATGCTGCTTATGAAACAATTTACAGTTTTACTTTGTAGTGCAAGAATGTGTGGAGGAAAGAAATTCAATCGGTAGCCATAACCTTTAGAGTGATCTATGCCCTGGCAATGATTTCCAAGTTCCACAACTTTGTTTCTCCACCCATAAAGGGAAGATTAGATCGTTGTTCAAGAATGACAAGCATTTAATATTTGGAAATGACTAAATAATGAAGTGCCTGGATTCTATAGAAATGCTAAGGAGAAAAGAAGATTAATTTCAAACCAAAATCTAGTACAAACATGACCTTCCTATTGCAAATCTCATGAATAGGAAAAGAAATTACATCTAAAGCTTTGTTTCTAGGGCTCAGAATTTGGAAATATATTAATATTGGAATGTTTCAGATGGGAAAAAATAGAGACCTGTTTATTATAATCTCTAGTCTGTGGAGATGAGAAAAATTCTTTTTGCTACATTTTACAGAAAGAATGCAGTTAGTAAATATTTAAATGACGGGAACGGAAGGGTCATCTTTTCTTTTGCCGTTAGGCAGGGCTAAACTTAAGTCATCTCAGGAAAGAGAACAATGCTGTTGCTCCCAAAAATCTCCAGGTGAGAATAATAAAAATTAAAACGAGCAGATGGGAAAGCTCTAGGGCCTTGAAATTAATAAAGGTCAGTTCTGGCTGACATAATTTCGGTTAAAATTCATTCCTATTCGCAAACAGCCTGACACTTAGCAAAACTCCAAAGGAAGTGATATTTGGCACTAGTTCTCTGAAAATTCCATTTAGTGTTAGTATTCGTGTCTGGTCATTGTTTTGTTCACCTCCTCTTCACTCCGACGGTGAGGAAAGTCCTGACCTAAGGTTCTAGAATGACCAAACGCAGGACATCCGACACTGTACACATGGGATCAACAGGGCTTGTCAGTGACATATCCTAACCACCCAGGGAGGAAGACACTCCATGCCTTTCGAGCTGCACAGAGGTTGCATTTGGGAAGAGAGTTGAACAAGAAAAGGCTGTGGGGGACAGGCTTTGTAGTAACAAGAGGGTGAGGTGTACCTTGATTTCCAGGGTGGGATACGGTCGGCTCGTTTCAATGACTGTGTGGTCTGGCAGGGAAATGAAACTTATTAGGTTGAGGACCAGGTGGAGCGCAGCTGGTCCAGCTGCAAGAAAGCGAGCCAGGTGGGGAGCCTTTCGCACTCGGGAGGGAAGGGAGTTCGCTTTCCCTTGGCTATATATTTGGCCCCTCTAAGAGTAACATCTCTGCCACACATACTGTGTCTCATGGGAAGAGAGGCGCTTTTGACCGGATTAATGAACATGGCAATGTGAACAGTCTTCCAGCGAGAGTATTCTCAGGCCAAGCCTATAGAAGTAGCTGGCTGACTCCTGCAGAAGTATCCTTTGTGACCCACTTTGATTTGCAGGAAAAGCGGAAGAGAGCCCCAAATCATCCAGACAGATTACATATTTAATTCCTCACTTGATTTTAATTTGCCACAGTGTGAATGTTGAGTAACTTGAGACTTAGAGCCGAAGGGCCGAACATGGTCCAGCTCACTGAAGTGAAGGGGTTTCTGCTCTTCGATTTGACATGAAGAATTCCGTCAGGAAACAGTCAGGTCTCTCTCACTTTCTCCGCTATTTGGTAAGTGAAAAGATAAAGGATGTAGGGAGACCAGTGGCTTCAGGCGGAGCTTGGACATCTGAAGTTAATGCTGGGCCTGTCTGTAAAGTCTTGGGGAAGGCATTTAATCTCTCTGGCCCCCAAGTTCTATACTTTTTCATGAACAAGTTAAACCAGATCAAGAGTTTAAGAGTAGTTTTTTAGTAGCAAAACCGTTGTTTTCAAATAAAACTTAAGGTCACTCTATAAAAGAGAAATGAAGCTTTGTATTTGCAAGCCCAATTGACCTGGCCTCCCTTTCACCTTTCCTCCTTCCCAGTTCCTCCCCAAAGATTCCTGAAGCTATTCCTCCGGGGCCTAGGGTTCCTTAGAACCCAGTTTGAAAACCAGCAGATGAGCTACTAACTCAGGTCCCCACCGGCTTTCAGCAGAATGGAAAAACTGTAGTCAGGGTAGCCAGATAGATGTGGGTTCAAATCCTCGTGTTACCAGTTTCTCCATCTGAAAAGCAAAGATAAAAGTCGCTGTTTTAGGACAATCGCTACGTGAAGAAATGCATGTGAAGCATCTAGCCAGCGCCTGAACCTCGTAGGGCCTCATAAATGGTAGCTATAATAAACATGATGGCTCTGATCTGAGCAGGACAAAGTGAGGAAAGATCCTATACATGAACTACTCAATTGAGTAGTTCCTCTGTAATTCCTGAAGCCAAAACCCCAAGAACTTAAGGCTAACGTTTCTCTTTAGAACCTGCATTGGGTTTTTATTGTTCCAAATTAGTGGAGGCGGGAAAGTTCTTCTAAATGACTGAACATTTTGTGTGTACTGGAGAGCTTGTACGGTGTAGACACACCCTAAGTCTCTTAAATGACGCCACGGTCGATCCAACCACCACAGATGGAATTTAAAGCACGTTGCTCTCACCAAAGAATAACAGCGGAAACGTCATTAAGAACACTTTAGCACGAAGCCACAAGAAATTCAGTACCTGACAGCTCACGGTCTGTGTTTCACCCTGTATCATAAAACAATCCACCCGAGAGCTGTTGTTCATTCGTGGACCTGCTGTGGTGACAGCCTGCGTTCTTTCAGTCATGGAGGAGTTCCCCCATAAAATGCATCCCAGAAGTCTGATTTCTGAAAAATCTCACCTTTGGGGAATTTTCCTGGCATTCTATTAAGTAAGCACCACTTAATAGGTCCTCTAAATGTGCAGTAGCAGAGGCTCAGTAGACTCCAGCCATCCTGTTATCCTCATGAACTTACATCCAAGAGGAAGCTGACTCAAGTCAAGTTTGGAGGTGCCCTTCTCCATTCTATAAAGCTTCCCTGTTCTTTTTAAAATTTATGAAAAGTTCCAAACATGCACCCCCACCAGCGTATGGCCCACCTCCATCATCAGTACTTCACCACCAGGTTGGCAGCACTCACCTGAGCCTGCAGCTTAGACCCAGGCCCCTTTCACTCCAAGACTGACCCCCAGGTAAGATCGCGTCTGCCGGCAGCTAAAGGCAGTACACGCTTGGGGACGCCTGGGGGGCTCAGCCGGTTAGGCCTCTGCCTTCGGATCAGTTTATGATCCCCAGGTCCTGGGATCAAGTCTGGGATCAGCTCCCTGCTCAGTGGGGAGCCTTCTTCTCTCTCTGCCTCTGCTACTCCCCCTGCTTATGCATATCTGCTCGCTCTCTCTCATTCTCTCTCTGACAAATAAATGAATAAAATCTTTAGAAATATATATATATGTTTAAAAAATAAATGAATAAATTCAGGATACACTCATTAAGTGCCTGCTTTATGCGGGCCCCTTCCTTGTCCCACCGGCTGGCTGTGGGGAACCTATGAAGGCACATGGCACGCGTGAGGGATTACAGCAGAGGCACAATCAGCAGAGAGAGAAGAGAGGGGGGAATTTGGGAAGGACTCCGTGGGGAAGTTGGGATTGAACTAACCCGGGGTGCAGACATTCCAGGCTGAGGAGGAGGATGTGAGTAAGGCTGGGAAGTGAGGGAACCAAAGGCCGCCGTTAGCGTGTGATTCATATTCTAATGTGCTGGGGTAGGTGAGGCCGAGGGCGGCCTGGGAAGTCGGTAATGAGCTTGGAGACACCTAGAAGTCTTGCAAACCGGGATGAGAGAGGTCCTCGGGCCGTGGGGAGTTGCTGGGCAGCAGCGCCCCGGGAACGGGGCAGGACCAGCACCGTCTCCAGAAGAGAGGAGGTAGCAAGTTGGGGAGCGGGAGGGGAGCGGGGAGGACTGATGCTCAGTGGCTCAGAGTTGGGGGCTGGGGCTGGGGGTGCGCGGGGACCCCCAGGCTCGGGCTCCCGCTCCCAGGGAGGAAAGCCCGAGGCCCCTAGAGACTGGAACTCGAGGCTTCGAAGAGAGGGTTCAGCCCCCGGCTCAGGGGACCCGCTGCCGCAGCCATCCTGGGGGGAAGCGAGAGCCCGGGACGAGAGAGGAGCGAGCAGGAGAAGCACCTGGGCCGAGGCTCAGAAGCAGCCGTGTTTACCGAGCACTTGGTCCCTCCTAGTACCACCTCTGCCCGGGCGCTGCGTCCCGCGGGCGGCCACCGAGCGGGCGCCCCAGGCCGGGCCGCGCTCTCCCCCGCCCGCCCCCCACCCCCCCACCCCCACCCTCCCCCCGGCCGCCAGCTGCGGCTCGCTGTTTGTTTGCCGAGGTTTGCATACACATATTGAGTTGCCCTTTTTTTTCCCTCCCAGTCAGTCCAGCAGTGTCCCGAAATTCACCCCCAGCGTAACTTCTGCCTCTGCTCCTCCTCTTCTTGGAACTGCCTTTTGTTTGTCTGGCAGCCTTGGTTCCAGGGGCGGGGGGGTGCGATGATAATAGTACGCGCGGGCTTATATAACCCTCTCATCCTGCAAGCCCTTCGCAGACAGTCCCTAATGACTCTTGGGGCCGCTGTCCGGCGGCGCAGAGCGGACCCCCAGCCCAGGCGCGCAGGCCCCGGGGGCGGCGGCGCGGGTCAGAGGCCGGGCCTCCCTGCCTCCCCGCGCCTCGGAGGTCAGGGCGGCGGGGGAACGATGCCCCTCGGCCTCCGGGGGAGGAAGGAAGCCGCGCTGCCACCTTATCTCCGCTCCTGCGCACGCTGCCAGTTCCCAGGGCTGGCTCTCTAGAGGGGACCTTGAAGGCGGCGCCTGTGAGTATGATGCTCTGCTTTTTCTGTAGAAAGGAAGGAAACCAACTTTCCTGACTGCCCTTGCCCGTGGGGTGGTATCTAGTCCCGAGAAGCGTGTCCCCCCCCCCCCCAGCCGGGATTCGTAGGTGATGGAAAGTTGTGTTTCTGGCCAAAGTCCTCCACCCAGTTGAGCCCCTCCTGAAAGCACCGGGAGGGGAAGGAGGTTTGAGTCGATAATTCACTTAACAGAAGAGCACCCGGGCCAGGTGCTGAAATTGGCCCCTTTCACTGAGTCCTGGCGGCTTCTGACTGTTGGGGCACCACCTCCTCACCCCAGGCAGGAATCCTGATAATTCACCTGGCCTGTGGGACAAGCCCAGAAGACGGCAGGACTTAAACCTTCAGTTCTGCAGCTTGCAGTGCTCCCAGTTTCAGACAAACGTAATTGTTGGGAGTTCCTTTCCACACTATGAAACGAATCCCATCTTTCGGTGTCGGCTTGAGACTTGCACGGGCTTGTGTAAACTCTACAAAACACTCTGAGTGTAGTGGACACGCGAATCGTTAGGGAGTTCTTCACTGCAGAGCTGAAGGGTTCAAATATTCAAGGAACATGGGCACTAACTTCTTTATACTGTGTTTTGGTAAAGAATGCTGAATTAACAGAGTATTTTTCTCCGGGCTGATGCTCATTGCTCTGAGAAATGGTCTTTCAAAAAAAGTGAATTTAAAACCCGAGAATAACAGTAAGGAAGGTACAGTTTCTGAACTTGAAGTTCTGTTTTGGGTAGTCGTACAACTTACATTTACAAAACCATGATTATAATTTGGTGCACTGTGGCATATAGAAAATCACTGTCCTTACTCAGGTAAGAAAGCTAAGAAATGGGTGGCCCAGTGGTTTAGCACCTGCCCTCGGCCCAGGGCATGATCCTGGGCTCTCGGGATTGAGTCCCACATCAGGCTCCCTGCATGGAGCCTGCTTCTCCCTCTGCCTGTGTCTCTGTCTGTCTCTCTCTGTGTCTCTCATGAATAAATAAATAAAATCCTTAAAAAAAATTTTAAAAAAGAAAGCTAAGAAATGCAAAATGACAAGACCTCTCACTTTTAGTACCATAAGTACTCTGATGAATCCACTGAGCAGCATTGTCTTTATCTTTAGGCAAGCAGATATAAAAACCACATACAATGAGCATGTATAGATGTGTTTGCGTTTACATGTTTAGACCTACAAATGCATGTGAGAGTTCAGGATACTTAAATACACACTTACACATACATATGGCCTCACATTTGTTGTATCTATCTAGTGCCCAGAATTTTGTGTGATATAATATCCAACATGGGCCACGTGGAAAAATTTCATATCAAATTTCAGAATGCAGTAGAATTATTCAGTAAACATAGGAAACATCCTTTAGAATTATGTCTATTTTAAAGGATCGCTTTAAATGACATTTCCACTTAGAATTCTCTGTGGCTTCCAAGAAATTCTAAGGCGTAATTAAAGCTGAAAATGAGACTGGATTCTAGTTGCTTCTACCCCTAAATTTAAAAGTGATCTGTCAACACTAACTTCTATATGCTAGTTAATTTAATTACAAAGATCAGCCACATAATCTCAACATTAGCTTCAAAGGCATACTCGGTCATAGTAGAAAGAATACAAACCATGATGGGGTCCAGATTTGAGGTTTGCTTTTGCCGTTACCTGGTTATAAGACCAACAGCAGGATCTTTAAGTTTTGTGGCCTTAGGTTTCACGTTTGTAAAATATGACCACTTCTACTGCCCCCAAAGACTGGATTCTTGAAAGCACTGAAAGGAGATCATAGATGTGAACTACTTCATACAGTGTTGGGAAATAGTGGGGTTTCCATCCATTTTAGGACTTTTCCAGTTACTCTATTTTTTCATCTTTGATTCAATCCATTCATTTATTGAGCATCTACTATGTGTTCCATGCTATGCTAAGGACTAGGGATGCAAACTCTGCCCTGGAAGAGTTTATAGTCTGAGGGGACAGTTTGAAACGACAGATAATTTTCCTAACAGTGCACTACCTGCAAAAACAGAAGTGCTTTTTAGATTAAGTGACAGAACTGAAGCCAGAGTGATTATTTCTGCCTAGTATCCATCAAAGGATGACAAAGATGACAGTGATTGCGTGAGTTTTAAAGCATCAGCCAGAGGTGTGAAAGGATCTTGCTGAAGAGGAGGATTAGAGAAAAGAATGTGTGAGAAAGCCTGGGGTTGGTGCTCCAGTGTTGAATCTATGAGGGGCTGGAGATTTAGTCTGGGGCCCAACCATGACTACTCCGGTGCCTCATGCTGAGGGGTTTAGACCTATTACTCTAGGAAAACTCAAACTCCTGCATGGACCTGCTCGTGATCTGAAAAAAGTCTGTTTTATAGGATCATATTGATATAAAAAGCTTGGGCTGAAACGTAAACCAACTGCATCATTAAGACACTGTTTGGTTTAAGAGACGAATGTATTTATTGGTAGCAAACCCATCCCAATGATGGAAGCATGGCACTTAACTCACCAGCACCCGCATTGTCAGGGTGACCCTCTAATCAATGGAATCGAAGGAGGACTTTGCATGGGGAGAAGGAGGCAGAGAGTAGATATGGTTTTTGTTTTAGGAAGGTTTTACATAGAGCATCTAGTATCCAGTACGCAATGGGGGTTGGGCAAAGCCGGAGTGGGGGTGGTAAACTAGGAGACAGGTTCAAAGACTATTGTAGTGTACAGTGAGAAATGCTGAGGTCCTGAGCAGTGCAGGTGGGCGGCAGGGCCAGATACCAGAAAGATTTAGAAGGTAGGACATTCTCGGCTTGGGGGCTGAATGAGAGAATGAAAGGAAAAAGGAAAAGTCTCTATTAACTTGGGGCCCAACTGGGTAGCTACAGTGGAATACCATAAAACAAGAGGAGGCACAACTTTATAACAGAAAATTGAGTTCTTGGCTGGGAGGGATGTTGAGTTGAAGTGTCAGTAAGAAGGTAGACTGCAACATTGAGTAAAAATAAAATCAAAAAAGTGTTTTTAAGAAGTAGAAAATTGCCAGATTTGTGGGAAGGGGATTTTTAAGCTCTCCCTATTATGCTCGATGCCCCCAAGAAATGTCAATATCTGGGCTTACTGGGCTCTGAGCTTTCATCTCGCATCCCTGCTGTTGAGCGGATTGTTTTTCCATTAACTTTTCAACAGGAAGGCCATGTCTAGGGCAGTCTTGCCAATAGCCATGCATACCCTTTAAAAAGACTAATTTGTACTTCCTCTGAGCCTTCAGCAATTAGGAGAGACTAGGAAAAAAGATCTGTGGGCTAGTGGAATACCTATTGAGGAAGAGCACATATTTACAAAGAATATTTAATCATGAAGAAGCAGCCCTTCCTCAGCAGACATTTCCATGAATTAGGGGATGCTCTCAGAGACTAAAGAAAAGGAGGTCATTTCTAAGACTAAGGCAAAGTTGATGATTTCCCATCTGGCCATTACTGAGCCTACAACCATCACCTCCTTCCCTGTGACAGGCAAGTTCTTCCCATGTGCTTGAATGGTACATAATTGGAAAGGAGGGGTGGGTAACATTTGTGAATCTTTAAAAAATGACAACTGGAGGAATTTTAGCATTTAGAGTGAATTGAAAACAATCTGATTAGCAGACAGGAAGCTGTGACTTTTTAAATCTTTGAGGTCTGATTACTTGATAACCTCAGTTTTCTTATACCTTTCACCCTTGCTGCACTCAGCACTTAATCTTCTGTGGCAAAGCCTCGATCGGATTTCCTGCATTTCAGAGTGCCTTCCCCACCTGAACACTTCAGAGCAAATACCAGTTATTATGAAGGGGGCTTAGCCCCAGACTTTATGACTAGTCTCACAAAGTCATATAATATTTCTTTCTGGAAAGTAAACTGAATCAACATATTTAAAAACAGATTTAAGAAGCTGTTTCCACTTGTAAATATAAACTTTATCGCTCATCAGAAAGATAGTATTTGGTTATAAGCTAAATTCCATCTGGCATCTGATAGTTCACTTCAAAATTCCCCAAACTTCAGAAATTATTTTGGGCTTTTGAGATCATGAAATAGGTTTCTATTTTTACCAAAATGTTTCCGCCATAAAAAAAAAAAAGAAAGAAAAAGAAAAAGGAGAAGTTCCAGAAAGGAACTGTTACTGTATCATTTATACAAAATAATCACCATATATATTATATTTTAGAATGAGATGAACTTGCATCATGGGAAAGTTTATTATGGAAAGAAGGAGCGAGATCTATTTGGGGAAATTCCCATTAGCACAATAGAAAGTATGAGGAATATACTGAGCTTCCATATATGGTGCTGGTCATTCCACATGTAGGTTACTCAAGCCATTTAAAGCCTTGGCTTCATGAGCAAGTGCTACACTCTTCACAATCTTTTTGGGTTTGCTGACAGAATGATTTACTCCAGACGGGGTGCTGGTGAGCCACTGTTGCTCTCCTGCGCAGTGTTTGAAGAGTGGCCTAGGGCACAGCTGTGCGGTCCCCCCAGACACCTGAGTGCAGGAGATTGCTGAATGTTGCTTCATTTCTGTGCCGTTCGGAAAGCTGGAAGCTCCCCAACTCTCTCTTGGGTTTGGCTTCCTGTTCACATGTTTTCTGGTCTCATGTCATTGTGCATGAAGTAATAGTCCCACATGCGAGCACCATTCATAATGGCGAGATTTGTGTGGTTCAGTGCAAGTTTTCTAATGAGGACATTTTGGGCCTTCCAACAACTCCTTAGGGAAAGCCGTTTGGAGCTGTTATTACTTTCCAAGGCAGAGCAAGCAAAGACAGAATGCACTCCTGCAACAAGACGAAAAGCCACTCTTAAGGAGAAATTAAAGGACAACTGCCTAAGAAAAAGAAGCATTTACCTTACACGTCCATCTCAGTGTGTATGTGCGTACTGTGCAGGGAAGTGCCTCCAGTTCACCGTTTAAAAACATCAGTGACTGTTTCAGCGTTTCACTATGAATGGTGCTAGTGTTTTCCACCGAGGACTGTTACTTTAATGACATTTCTCTGCAGCAAAATCGGATGAGTTTACGAAGTTTGAGAGCCAGGAAATGCAGCTCAGTTTCTGAACAACTGAAAGCCGAGAGAGTTAAGTTCGATCATCTACTTGCTTTATAGCACAGATTCATGAGTGCTAAGTACAACAGCGCTCATACAAACCAAACTTTTAAAGTACAGCCCTGAAACTATCAAGCTCAATCTTCCCAGTATGCTATCAGCAGGTGAAATTCTGATGCACACCTACATTCATTTGTGGATGTTACTGTCAAATTAATAGGCACATGTGCCAATGTTTTCGAGAATTTTAGAGCAGAAAGGGATTTTTTTTAAAGATTTTATTTATTTATTCATGAGAGAGAGAGAGCGAGGCAGAGACATAGGCAGAGGGAGAAGCAGGCTCCATGCAGGGAGCCTGATGTGGGACTCGATCCGGGGACCATGGGATCACCCCTGAGCCGAAGGCAGATGCTCAACCGCTGAGCCACCCAGGTGTCCCCAGAAAGGGATTTTGAATGTCCTCCAATCTTATCTGTGTACTTTACAGAGAAACTGAGATTCATATTAGTGCTCTCTTTCTTGCTCTCTCACTCTCTCTCTCCCCACATGCGTTTGCGCAAGACACATCTGAGTCTTGTGCTAAGTCATTGCTTACAGAAAAAATTGTAAATTTGGCTTAAGAAAAAGGGAGGGCAAAATGACCCAGAGCCAGGCCAGTGATTCCCTGCTTCATTCAAGTTTGTGTGTCCCAGCTTCAGCTCCGAGTGGACCAACAATCTATCCTTGCTTCAGGAGCCATTCAGGGTCTCAGATTAGATATTTTTCACCAAAACTTGAATAAACTCCAAAGCAAACCCAGGACCAATATGTGACTCAGATCCTGACATGAAGGGATGCTCCATCAAGGTGCATGGTACTAACCCGTGGCCACGTTATTGATTAGAATATGAGATGTAGACGGAGCCTCAAGTATAACCCTCACGCTTAGCGATCCTAAAACCTGATCGTGAAATGAGCCCTTCACTCATATAAGCAGCAGTGACAACAGTGGGGACTGTATAACGAAATGCCACATTGTGGCACAGATTTTTAAGTGTTGGAGTGCTGGTGAAAGAAATGAAAACGAAGGTTGTCAGGAAAATGTCAGAATTTTAGTGGATCCCAGAGAGGCACTTAGAATTTGAATGTATGGAGCCAATAATGGTGGACTTTTCTAGGTAAAGAACAGCGAAATGAAAGTGTAAATAGATTCTCACGGCAGGAGGAGAGGAGAGGAGGAAGAGGGATAGGGGGGAGAACCCTGAGGAAGCTAGGCTGGCGGGTCCTCTCCTATAGCATTTCCCAGCCTGACCAATGGACCACAGAGCCCCCAGTATTGGCTTATATTATTATTCTACTAAAATGTCACTGAAATATGTACCCTAAAAAACGTAGGTATAAATGACTTGAATTATACTTGTATAACTGTACATCCCTAATAATAGCATTATATTTAGATCATTGAAAACCCAAAAGAAATTGCTTATTAAATATGAATAAAACCATAAACCAATAATATTCTCTTTAATATTAATTTTCTTTGCCAGATGATGCTGTTTTGCTGAAATTAAAGAATAAGTTTGTTTAAGCAAGTGTTCATTGATGAAATTGTTTAAAAAAAAAGGCAAACTTTTAAAAAGATTTTATTTATTTGAGAGAGAGAGAGAGAGAGAGCACGAGGGGGGCAGGCAGAGGGAGAGGGAGAAGCAGACTCCCCAGTGAACAGGGAGCCCTACAGGGTCCCCATCTCAGGATCCTGGGATCATGACCAAGGCAGATGCTCTGCCGACTGAGCCACTCAGGTGCCCCCATTTGCCTCTCGTGGGCACATACTTATCAGCCAGGTATTGAGGCTGCCTCTCTTCTTCCTCTAATAGCTTATGCAATTAAATTGTTACATTATTCTCCCACACATTATCATTTTAATGACGACAAATCAGAACCCTCGTTTATAAAATTTATGAAAACTCCGGTTTCGTTCCATTAAAATATCTTTTGATTGCAAGTTGCCACTGCAAAGGCAATTGTATCTTTATCACAGGCTAAAAAAAAAAGGGAAAAAAATTTTTACCTCAAGTAATAATAATTGCCAGTTTAATGTGTGCTTATGTTGGGCCATGAACCCCTTTCAGTTCTTTACATGGATGCTAGCATGTCATCCTCACATGAACCGTATGGGTTAGATACTATCCTCAATCCTCATTTTTCAGAGGATCCTGAGGCATAGAGAAATTAAGTAATTCACTCAAGGTCACATAGCCAGTGAATGCTGTAGCCTGGAATTCAGGCATCTGATTCCAGTAGTTTACTCAGAATGACTACAAAAAGGGTGTTCTTTGGCATTGGGCTATGCCAGCATAACCACAGCCAGATACTTAACAGTTTACACTCCTGTGTAAACTCTTACTTCAGGAGATCACAAGGTGTCATGCATAATTATAAACATAAACATTCACATGTCCTCTAGGAACATGTTTAAAAAGTAGAGATCTTTGTGATGCTTATAATAATTTTCAATAGTATCAGAGACATGGGAACAGAGACTGTAAAAGTTGTCCTGGAGCTCACCAACTCCCAGGATGGGAAGCACAGGAGAACAGTCAAAAGGTCAACTGGGTTGGGTGTGCCAGATTAGGGAGGGTGGTGTAAATGGGTGGAGGAGTTGAGCCTCTGTCAGGAATGGAAAGAGACATGATAAGGGTGGCATGGGAGGAAGGGTCCTGCGGCAATAGGCCAGCACCAGAGAGGCCCTACTGCAGCAACCTCCCTATAAGAATGAAGCTTCCAGAACAGAGCAAAGGACCAGGTACTGCTGACACTTAACCTGAATCACCAGGGCCAGTCGAGATCCAGAAGAGATTCCAGGTCTATTTTATTGAGGGAAATAATCTATATCCATTACCTCTGAGATTCCCCTCTGCATGTATCAACAATTGTTTTTGCCAGTGAAGAGGTAAGAAAGCTCCACATGAAATGTTTTAATATTTATGCTGCAAGAGAAATCCTTTTTAAAGGTAAAGGAAATTGAGGGTTGTTAAATTGTGTATATTGTTTTTCCTATCCTTTTATATTTCTGATAGCTTATATTTTCTTACAAGATATATATATTTTCTACTTCCTCTTCTATACTATATATCATGTAATGTATACATGTTAAAATGTGCTATTGATGGCAGCAAGATTGCATTATCAGGTACTTACTGAGTTAATCTGGGTGTTTCCTTTAATCAAAGTATTTAAGTTGATTTTAGTTACATTTTTCAACTGCCTTAAATGCAGAATAGAAACAAATTTAACCGCTTCTAAATGCTTACTTTGCTACTCATCAAATAACAGCTTGCAGCAGCTTTTAGGAGATTTTGTGAGTCAGGACATTTTCCTTTCAAACAGGTGTCATAACCTGAAATTTGATGTCACTCAACTTTTAAACTTGGAACACTTTGTAAACTTTTAAAAAGAAATTCTTCTTTATTAGTTTTAGGAAATCCAGTCAAAGAATAATATGAAATGAATCTAAGGGAAAGTCTCTCTGAAGAGAGAGACGAATGGAAACTCCTACAAAAGCACTGAATTACCCACCATATTTCAAAGTCTCTCGCAAGTGATTGTAAGAAAAGCAGGGTGGATAAAATTTGAAGCATATTATTCCTAATGATGTTCCCCCTTTGAAGTTGTGAAAGGGCGCCATCAGAAAGATGAGAGCAGCCACTGATAAAATGCAACTGAGGGCACATTTGCTCTCCTCCATTGTAGGTGCTGACGGCCACCCACCACCGTCTGAAGAAGGCGATTTTGGCAGATGACATGCAGGTTCTCCAAGACAGAGTAATTGCAGAAAATCTTCAAAGGTACTCTATCAAACATTTATCTCTTGATTAATTAAACCAAGGCGCTAATTAAACCTGCACACCCCGTGTCACTTGAAAAGGGGCTGTTCCATGGATGGGGAATAATTGTAAGAAACTGAAAAGTCCTGCACCTTCCTGTAGCATTTTCATCCTCCCTGGCTGAGAGAGCTAAAAGGAGCCTTCAATGTGATCGAGCCATTTCATGAAATTAGTCTTCAGGGATGGCAAAAGAACCATCTGAATTAAGAGTATCCAAAGAATTAGGGGCACCCAGCTAGCTCAGTCAGTAGAGCCTGTGACTCTTGATCTTGGGGTTGTGGGTTTGAGCCCCAGATTGGGTGTAAAGATTACTGAAGAAAGAAGGAAAGAAAGAATCATAGAACTTTATTAACATGTCATGAGCTGTTAGGGAGCTCAGGGGAATTAGAGGCAGCGAATGGCAGGCCTGCTACACCCAGCCATCCAGTCTCAGGTGAAAACTTCAGGTATCAACTGTCTTGTTCATAGATCTGCCTTGACACTTTCTTGCCTTGGCCAAGTAAATATTAGTGCCAGAGTGTTGTGGGGCCAGGAAGAGTTACAGAGACACACCTAAGCAATACAACCTTGGTTGCCAAAATATTCTTAGGGGTGTTGATTCATGTGATTTTACAGTCCCATGTGTCTGTCTTTCTCAAATATCAACACTGAAATGTGTTCCCTTCTACCCCAACCAAACTAATGCAATGGAAACTGTTGAGTTCCTACTGCTTTCATATTGCAGCTTTTCAAAATCATTACCCTTCCTTCACTTGTTTTTCATCCAATATCCTGTGTTGGTCCAGGTTGTCTTGGATAAAGTCCTCTAATCACCAAAAAGTTTGTGGGAAAAAAAAGTTTGTGAACCTCATACAAACAATGAAATCTTCAACAGGCCTGGCCTGAATTGAGGATTGATTTATCCAGCTTCTCTTTCTAATACTTACAGAAGTAAGCATTGTGTCCACACTACAAATGGCAAGTTTAGCAGGGAAGTATCTGGAAGTGTATAGAAGTCTGGGGTTAGTTCCTTAACAAAAAATCATGAATATTGCTTTTTTTTTTTTTTTTCTGTAATTCTCAGTGTTTTGTGCACAGATGAGCTAGGGTATCACCAGAAATTTATTGGAAGCTGGTTATCCACAAGCTAAATAAAAAATAAGAGGAAACAAGTTGAAATTTAGGTCTCCTTCCTTCAAAATTTCAACCAGGAGAGGAAATATTGCAAAACAGAAACTAAAAAAAGATATCTGGTTAGGAATTAATTCAATAAACAGTAGAACTGTGACTATTTAAGAGTTCTTCATCTTCTTGAGTCAGTTCTCCATTTAAGGGGTAATTTAATCACTTTAAGCATTATATCCTTTTTATTTTTCAGCATATTCTTATTATGAGAAAACAGAAGTACATTTAATATTGGATCAAGTTAGAAGCACTTGGTCACATTTGACACACAAGACACTTCTTAAAATTCTGTAGGTCTCCTATGAGAGAAGTTTCCAGTCTTTTTCTGTCTTTGAACTGGAAAATTCCGATTCAAAGCCTGACCAATTGCTAGCTTCAAAATCTCTGCCCTTCCTCATCCATCACTTGAGCTGGATTCGATAGGCAGCTGAGTCACTTTTCACCACCACATCTGTACTCACAGATCCACAGTCTTCCCATCTGGTAAATTTTGTAGCAAGAAATGAGTCCTTTCTGTGTTTGCTCAGACAGGTTTATAAAATAAGGACCACTTTAATGAGCCTTAGAGCTTCAAAATGCTGCCCTGTGCACTTTTGATCGCCTCTCTGCTCCTGTCGTCCGAATATAAAGTTCTCTCATTTAATATTTTTCCAGCTTTAAGAACTGCTTACCTGCAGTTCATGGAGTTGGCATCACCTCCAAAATAACACAAGAGACAGAACCAGGAGATGTTATAAGCAAAACTCAGAAGCTGCCTAAGCATCTCCTGATTGTCGAATTGCCAGAAGACTCTCTCTTGGTCCAAGGAGAGATGGATTGTATTCACATACAATAAGACAACAAAAGGATAATTAAATTTCACAGCTTGGGGGAGATTTTGAGGGTTCTTGTCAAAAATGTTCACACCTGTGGAACAGACTGTTATTTTTTGTGAAGCCTGGTTTTCAGCTTGAAATACACCTGCCAAAATCTGAATGGCCGCTATTGTACCTTCTGGACTCAAAAAATGCTCTGTCAGACAAGGTTTGGGGCACACAGATGGGATAGCTTAGAACAGCGACTGTGTTGTTTGTAAGGAAATTAAGACCTTTCCTAGTCCTGTTGATGCCTATTTAGGATGGAAAATTTTATCATAAGTATGCCTTAGCTGTGCCTCCCTGGCAATTTATTATTTTTTATATTACCTTAATAATTCGTTTTACTTAATGCCTTAATTTAAATTTAAGAGCTTTTGTTAATTGTCCATATTGCCCATGGACTGTAATAGTAAACTACATCTTTTCAATGAATCAATTTTAGGTTTAGGCCCTTAAAACAGCTAAAATTATCCTTGTATCCACTGAGCATTTAAAGGTTGCTACAGAATATCCAGAGCTGAATTTGGAGATGCTAAGAAGCCCATTCTTCTTTGTGAACATTCTCATCCTTAACATTTCTCATTGCATATCCTAATGTCAATTAAAAGAACACATTTGTTGTAAAACAATATAATAACGATCCAATATGAATTTTTTTTGAGGTAAAGCACACACACACTTAACCCCAGCCCATAAAGTTTTTTGTATATGAATTTGTGCAATGAGGACTCATAGAAAATTGCCACTATTTGACTATTTTTTTGACCCATAAAAGCAGCAATTTCATATGGTACTGCCTAATATTTTATGTAATTGAAAACTTAGAGAATATACGTTTTATTCTGACTCTTTTTCACTATTGTATCAAAGTAATCTACAGTTTCTGCAGTGTCTTCATAGCTCATAGTTTGAATTTGTGCATCATTCTCTATTACACGGATGTGAGGTATATTAAATGGATTTTAATTTTTCCCTGTAAGAGATAACACTCAAAAAAACCTAACCTACGTCTTCCTTCACACCGTTTTATTTAGTTGCCTTTGAATGCCAGTTTTGAAACTAATGTCTTCTCTGGCGTCGTCCTTTCATCCCTCCAAAACTAAATACTTTCATGTGTGAGTCATCAATACAAATCTAAGTGATAAAGTGAGCGCTAGTATGCGTGAGCTACCAACATGCACACATGCATACACACAGTTAAATGGATCTGTTTAGACAGTACATCCTCAAAGCCAATGAATCTGTGTTGAAAGAAAACACCAAACCTCAATAGGATGAGAAACCTTGCACCCATCAGCCTGTGCCACCTTTAGCTGGCTTTTCTCCATTTTCATCTGACGGAGACCTGTCCTAGCAGATGGTCTTCTCAGTATGCTTTGGCTGCCAAGAGAATAGAGCTTTGTCTAATATGGCAAGGAAACAAACTCTGAGGATATTAACCCACCAGAGGAAAACCCTTTGCTCTTGCCATAATGGTACATTCAGGCAGGAAGTTAAGAGGAAAATAGCTACTCCCCTGGGGATGAGGAGTGCGGAGCAGGGAGGGAGGGGAGCAGTTTAATTATGATGAGGGTGGGGGTGGGGATATGGGGACAGTCACAAGTGGAGATCAAGAAAAAAGAATGGGATGATGTCATTCTTTACTGGGACAGTCACTGAAATGAAATCAGGTCACACACAATGGTCTTGTTCTGTGCCTGCAACCATAAGGGTTACAAGAGATTACTTTGTGGCAATGCTTGTTAGGAAGAGTCTAAGGGCCCTGATCACGTTAAGATATCCCCCCAAGACGTCTTTAAGATGGAGAAGAAGGGCAGGATCCTTCCATCTAGTGCCAAAATGACCCACACTAGGTGCACAACATTGTGTTAAGGTCTCATAAGCCACAGTTTAGGAGAGAAAAAGTCTGGATTCTTACGACAGTGAATTTTAAGAAGCAGAATGCAACTCCACAACTTGGTTCCAGGCCAGATGTTTTAAATGGATGCCCTTTCTCATAGGATAATTTTGAATGACATTTTAAAGTTAAGACGGAATATATTTCTCAGTATAAAGTTGCATTTTCTGAGAAGAAATACTGCCTTGTACTGTGTTAGGGCATTTTTAGGACTAATTAACTCTGCTTACATCGGAAGCATTTGATTTGTGTCCATGCTGAATCCCTAGTGCCACTGGTGGCAGATGTACTCAAATTTAGGTTCCTTCTCTTGATGGTGTCCTAATTTAACCTCATTCATCTGCTTAGATTTCACAAGAGGGCATCACAATTACAAATGAAGGTCCAAAGTTCTAAAAAGTCATCCCTGGTATAATTAGGTGATAGAGTCAAATCCTGTTATTAAGATTCTGTTGTGATTGCATGATAGGGCTTAAGACAAATAAGTCATTGACTGAGGCTTTTTCTTACACGTTTTTGTTGCATGAGTATTGACAATAAAGGAACTGGAACACTGGGGCTGCTTCCATTTCCAGCTGCAGGTTACAGAATTTACAAAAGTTAATATTAAATTTTGGTAAACCACTTGTCTTCAGGTGCATGTGTATATTCAGGAACAAGGTCCTTCTCTCTTTTGTAGACCTTTACAAAAATGTAATTGCAAAATTAGATTATAGTGAGAATTCATATTTGTTTTATAATTTTGCCTTCAAATTACTAGGAAATACTGTGTGGTAATCTCAGGTGTAGGGGAAATGGTGATACATATGTGACACGTGTGTTTGAAAGTTGCCTTGGATCGTGGCTATCACAAGACCAAGAAGCACGTTTTGGAGGGCAGATTCTTTTTTTTTTTTTTTTAAGATCTTATTTATTCATTCATGAGAGACACAGAGACAGAGAGGCAGAGACACAGGCAGAGGGAGAAGCAGGCTCCATACAGGGAGCCGGATGTGGGACTCAATCCTGGGTCTCCAGGATCATGCCCTGGGCCGAAGGCAGTG